AAGTGTGGTAAATTAGCTCGAAGATATAACGGCCTCGTGATTGTTCGGTCTACGAGGTTATTACCTTTGCGTTATCGTTCGTTACCATTAGCTTAGGAATCAGGAGAAAGCCTCATTAGCGCTTATCTCAGACACTTTCGAACCTGTTTGACCACCCTCTGAAGTTTTCGTGCTTCGAGACTGCTATATGCTTGCTTTTATGCCTTCAATTTAGACTTTTTTGAAATACTGAATTATTCTCAGTGATATACAGACACAGATCCCTTAATTGCAAATATTAATGACAGTAACATTGAATTATATCACTCGGCTATACTGAATTTTATATTTTAGACTAGACTCCAATGAAATGGCACTACAAAGTGTAATTTATTCAAACCGTACACCATTTAAGAATTCAGTAAATATATTTTAATTAAGATATTTTTAGACTCATTCTAACAAATCGAAAAGTTAATATTTGCATGACATTGCAATTTCTATATTCACTATTGTAAGTGGTGCTTAGTTCGAAACGTGTTTTTTATTATCTGCGTAACGTAAGTATGAATATTCAAGGAAATTGTGGAAGCTGCTGATTCTCTAAAATTGTGATTCGCACTGGAAGCGTGGGTGACGATCTGCCGTAGTTCCGAGAACGGTGAGCAAAGGTCAAGCATGACGCGCTCACCTGAATGAAATTTGAGCCAAGTGGTCGTTCGTTGGAATCACTTACGATAGACTGACTCATTTTACGTCAATGAGATAGTACGCATCCCGGACCTTCTTAATGGATCACGTCAGACGTCTAAACACTAACTTACGTCTAAATATAGCATTTTTCTGCCATCTTTAAACAGGAAACTTTCTTCCTTTTTGCTATGATTCAAGAGTCAGAATCTTTACGAAGACAGCTCAACTTTCGTTGCACTCTTCCTTGTTCATCTTTTCAAAAATGTAATGAAACTCAGTCACTTCTGACTCACGTACAATAGTATGACACAAAACTGCACATGGATACAGTACATACAATTAAACATGAAACAACCCTGCATAACCTATATTTTACCTTACTTTGATTCTACTGAAATGCAAGAGAACATATTAAATTAAATTCCCAGGAGAAAATACAAAAATATAGTTTATATTTAATACTATCTTCCACTCTTACAAAAATACCCAAAATAAAAATCAAATTAACTACATTCTTCGCTATCAATTCCGACGAACCATATCCACAAAAAACGAAATAAAATCACCTTTAACATCATTCGAGTTCCCATTGTACAAATTTTTCAGAACATCTATTCGTTGTAAACATTCTTCACACCTTCCGCGTTCTTCATCGTCCATTTCAACGAACGATCCATAAAAAACAAGATGAAATCACGTTACATATTCCAGTTCCCATTGTAAAAATTTTTCAGAAAATTCACTCGCTATAAACATTCTACGCACCTTCCACATTCATTCTCAATTTCAACGAGCCATTTCCCCAAAAAACAAAATAAAATCACCTTTAACATCATTCTAGTTCCCACTGTACAAGTTTTCAAGAACATCTACTCGCCATAAATATTCTACACGCCTCTCGCGTCCTTCATCATCCATTTCAAGGAACGATCCATAAAAAACAAGATGAAATCACGTTACACACCATTCCGGTTCCCATTGTATACATTTTTCAGAGCATGTACTCGCTATAAAGATTTTACACACCTTCCACATTCATTATTAACTTCAACGAACCGTATCCCCGAAAACAAAATAAAATCAGCTTATCATTCCAGTTCCCACTGTAGAAATTTTCTGGAACATCTACTCGCTATGAACATTCCACGCGCCTCTCGCGTTCTTCATCATCCATTTCAACGAACGATCCGTAAAAAGCAAGATGAAATCGCGTTACGTATCATTCCGGTTCCCATTGTACACGTTTTTCAGACCGTTTACCCGCTGTAAACGCGCAAGTATCGGTGTCTAGTAATGACCCGCTCTATGCTTTCATATTCGCGCCGCGGATGGGTTCCTCGGTCGGTGTGCTCGGAACAAGACAACACACGGATCGTACGACCGGGCCGCGATACCATCTAATATTCCCCGCACTTGGCCATGTTCCGACCTTTAGCCGCGGCGAACAAGGTCGGGGGCCTCGCAAGCCCGTAAACCATCCTTAACATCCGTGAAAGGATTCCAACACCCACGGCCGAGAGCGCAGCAGTCGGTCACCAGTCGACTCCCACATCGCGGATATAGAAGCCCGGGGAAACGAGGATGAGGTTGCAGGGATTATGGGACCGTGAGTCTATGCTGGATAGGATTATTCAGGACGCCGGCGCGTCGGGGAATAAGAAATGGAAATCTGCACAATGTCCCCGGACTTCGTCGATCCTCCTTTTTTCTCACCGACTCGCTCGAACGTGTCCTTTTGTCAGAGAAAGTGAATAGAAAGTGAAATATGTGATAGCTGGAGCGGCTGGGAGGATGAAGCTGTAGCGGGACATTCGAATAACGTCGATTCTTGCGGGAATTTTTGGATATTTCGATTGTTAGGGAGATTTTTCATGGGAAATGTAGGAATGTTATTGAAATTGTTTGATGTAGACAATGATGGGATGGTTGGTGATTTATGTTCGTTTGAAATTATTTTTTGAGATTATTCTTTGTCTATTTAATGTGCAATGGAGTCTTCCGAATGATAGAATTTTATTATTTCATATAGTAGGTGACTATCACTCACCTGATTTCATACAGTAAAACTATAAAATTTGATATTTAATATTATACTTTATGTAGTGCATCAATTTGAGAATTATTGAAATAAAATAGCTTTGTTTCTCAATGTACGTGCGATTCCTCTTCGAGTTAGTTTCACAATTATCGTCTTTATCTCATAAGATGTTAAAATATTTCTAGTGAAAAACTTCCGAGTGTAAAGAGTTAATGATCATAATATAATAACAGTAATATAATTTAATAATTATAGATATACGAAACACAGTAGAGAATATAATTTCTTTATTTCATTCCCTTTTATACACAATGTACATTAAACTTGCAATATTAATATATGAAAGACTGTCTGTGTCTGAACAAGTATATCAACGAAAGCAGATAAAAAGAACCGACGCAAAGAAAATGTACTACAATGTCGAAGATGTTTCGTGGGCCTGTTCCTCCGTGCATTGCAAAACAATGAAATTGAAGATTGAGTGCACGCGGTACCGCACTCGACCAGTGGTAACGCAACAAAGGCCACCGGCAAAAACATTAGTACAAGGTTGCGGTTCAAGCAGAATGCCGGTGAAAAAAGTCGCGAAATAATCGAGGTTTTGTGATCCGCCAGCAGCAAATTTCTGTTGTACTCGGGTTCCATGCGGCGGTGCTCGCGTGTTGTTCGGGCAGAAAAGTTCACGCGCCACTAGCTCGCGACCGCAAACACGATCGTCATCCAAAAAGATGGATCGCGCGCAAAACTAAATGATCGACCGCAGACCTTACCGTTAAATGGAAGTTTCAGTTCCGCTGGACTTGATTCGCAATAAAATGCTGTTGGGCTCGGCTGGTGGACCCTCGCCGCACATTTGACTGTCGATTGCAAGAAGTAAAAGGACATTGTACGATATTTCCTCTTCGTTTTAGGTTGCAGAAATATATCGAACGTGGATTTCGAAACAAAAGAATCTTATTTTTCAGTCATTCCTTATGTTCGAAATTTTGAAACAAAAGAATCTTATTTTTCAGACAGTCATTCTTTATACTCGAAATAAGAGAGTATAATATCAAATTATTTCACTGCATCGTTTCGTTATTATTGCGAGTTAATCTTATGTATAATATATAAATAGTACAAAGATTTTTGCAAATAATCATCGTTTAATTGACCGAATTATTCAACGTGTTAAATAATGAAATATTAATTTAAATACAATATATTAAATAACCTTAAGTCCTTCCAACGATCCATTCATTTTTAAAATGAATATTGTAGCATTCAGTACTTTAAACCTCCACTTTCCAAACCAGTTTATAATACGCGTAAGATACTTCTGTTTCGATTATGTTACCCGAGAATCGTCCTTGAAGCAAAGTAATCCAAAGGAATACAGCTTAATAAGAAAGATAAGATAGTCAACAATGTACGCGTTGCGAACATCTTTCTAATGTCATCCACCTTTCAACAAGCCCTGTGAAGTTATCGGAAACCCTCGTTTCGTTCATAGAAAAATGTTGCGAAGTGAGCATCCCTCCGTCCGGCAACTGAGAAACGAAGTACGAATATCAAAAGAGTGACATGATCGAAGGAATAAAGTCTATTTACAGGTTTCGAAATGATCAAAAGTGGTGAATATTCCCGCAGCGACGTCCACTCGGCTGATGCGCTATCACGCGCGCAAATACTCTTTACGATCACGCATCTTGTACTATCGCGATCGGGGCCGCGATTATTTCACGTTCCTTGCGTCACGCAGCAGCGTTTCACGTTCTCGTAGTTATCCGGCATCAGTGTTTCTAATCGGCGGCGCAATGGGATGCAGGTGCAAGCTACCGCCAGGCCTCTCGTGTATCTAGCTACTGCCACTTTGCGTTTCTTAATCGCCCCGATGTATCCACCGCTCCGCGGTGGGAAGGTGGCTCGTAATTTTTCAATTTTTCTGCTTTACCAGTTTTCCCCTCGCGGATCATTCCGAGATCCTGGGAAAGTTCGCGTGGCTCGGTTCGTTCGCGCAACTGGAAATTTCATTTCGTCAGAGCGGCTTCGTAAAACGATCACATTTTTTTCTCTCGTAAACCAGTGACGTCAGTCTCGTTTCCTCCTTATCGCCGCCATTTTATGTTTACGTTCGAAACGTACGCCGTGCCTCGCGTGAACCACTTAAGTCCCCTTAAATTAACTTATTATTATCGTGGAAAGTGATTTCTGCAGTTTTATTCGAGAAGAGCTGAACTAGATTTGTACAGACGTCTTGCAATTATTTTGTTAACACGTATATACAAATAAATATTTCGTAATCACGCTCTAACGAGTATATTAAAACTTTTATTCAAATACATAACAACTTATCTTGCAACTTTTTAGTTGAAAAGTATTGTTCGATACAGTTCGCAGTATATATATAAAAGAATTCGCGCAGTAGATGATGGGCCAGGCTCGTTGCAAAGTATCTATGCGGTAGACGTTTTTATTTATTTAAACTAGACACTGACAAGCAGTAAAAACATAAATAATGTTTGTAATAAAACAAACTAAAACTTTATTTTGATAGAATAAAAGGTTGAGTTTCAATGTGCTCAGCCTGCTCTGATTTTGATGGATCCTCTTTGATCTTTCTCGTGTTATCTATTTTTGGCATGACATCGCGGGCAAAGACTCGTCTGCTAACCACTGGTCTCCAGATTTCCTCGGAATCATAAGGCTTTCATTCATTTCCGAGAACAGCACCGAGTTCTGTTTGATCATCCACGCTTTTGGTTTCATTTTCATCCGCGTCGCGAATAAATACGTCCGATCTTCCGGGACTGGTCACATGAATGGCTGGACTTGATCGCGAAGTAAAATGACGCTGTAAACTATCGTAATTCTTCATCATTAACGTGGAAAGCAATGTATGACAATCATTCATACATTGATTTTCCCGCCAATCATGAACAATAAGAATTCGTTCACAGTTTCAGTTTATTCCACGTTCATGTCCAGCAATCCATATGATCCGGTAGATCAGGCATATTCAATCTTTACGAAGACGAAATAGAAACACAAAGCGTGACTGTTCAAACAGAAGCTAGTGCTCCTATCGGAAATGAATCGAAACCTTTTGATTTTGCAAAAATCTGGAATCAAGTAGAATAACTGGAAATGACTGTTGATTGATGCAAGACGCCATTGAAGCGACGAGCGTGCGGTTATACTCGCAACTCTCACGAACGTACCGATAAATATAGAATTCAGTGTAGTAATAGCAAAAGTTTTCCGCGGATAATAAAACCTTCCGCTGACAACATGAAGGAAAAATTTGTTCGCAATCACGTCAAAACAACAATACATTTGAGAATCACGAAAATCGGTGCATACTAAGCACATCGACAGCTTCATCGAATAAAATCCTTCACCTCTTGCATTTGGATTATTGTGTATTCTTTTTCGATGATGACGATTTCGGTATCGTGCTCTGCACATGGGCGTACTTCGGATTTTTTAATGGCTTCCCAACAGCCAACGGCAATTTTTTCGGAGCCGTGCCTGCCACCGATGGCGAACGATTCGCTGGCGAGGATTTCGCTTGATTAATAGACAACGAACCAACCGCGAGGCTTTTGCGTCTGGCGACGATCGAATCCTGCTCAGTCGTACTCAATTTCGAGGACGTAGGCGTTCCTGTGAAGACTGAAGAGGACCTTCGGAGTTTAGGCGGTGGATTTGGCCTCGTCAGAGTCGTCGAGCGGTTCGTTCCGATGGAAGACAGTCGTCGGATTGGCTTCGTCTGTTGTGGGAACAAGTCCTGTGGATTTCAGACGTTTTTCTTTAAAAGTAATGAACGCTAAGTGGAAATTATAGTGGAGTCCTGATAGCCATTAGTAGTTATTAATTAGTAACACTCGAATAGAAGTTTAATACGCTACCATTGTCACATGTTTGTGACGGTTGCAATCTTATATATTTTATAAAGAAAATGAAGTTAATCATATACATATCGATAGTTAAAATTGTAAGCTACGAAATTATATTTAGGGTTTCAATGACTCGTCTCAGCTTCATTTGTTTCAATAGTTTGTTTAGAATTATTCAGTGGAATAAAATATAATTGAGAGGATCGTCACTGAAACAAACGCTGGTATGTGTTGAATACTATATGTGAATTAAGTATATGTGGTTAATTTAAATATAATTGTTTTAAATACTAGGTGTCATGGTTTGGATGATGTTTAAAAATATATATTTGTACATTGATATGTATAAATGGTAATAGATAAAATTTTCAACCTTTCTAATGTCATCCATCTTCGATATGATATCGGAGGCGTTGGCTCTTACGCTGTCCATTATTTTCGAGATTTTCTCAAGATTAAAAGGACTAGATTCGGCCCCGAGAACAGCACCGGTTTCTGTTTCATCATCGAGAACGAATGTGCCCGATTTACCGGTACAGGTGACGTGAATAGCCGGGCTTGATCTTGAAATAAACTGAAAGTGTAAACGCATTCTTATTTTTCATAATTAACGCAATAAGTAATGTACGAACAATTATTTTGTCTAATATTCAGTTAATTTATTGTAAGTTAAAATTCGCGATATATGAAAACATTTTATAACCAAGTGTATTATTATAAGATATTAATATAAAAATATTTTCGAATCTTCAACTACAGTGAAACCGAATAATATTTCTACTGATTAAATTTGCTTAATCATGAATATTTAATAGGATATTAAATAATGATTCAACTGCTACCTTCTTTTCGTTAGGGGTCAGTTTGTTTTCGCTATTCTCTTCGACATTCAATTTTTCTTGACTTTTCGATATCGATTCTTCCACTTCAGTCTTACCATTGTTGTCATCAGCTATAGCTGTCAATGTATCCAACGATCTGAATACAAAACAGTTATCTTTAAATCTTAAAATAAGGTACAATTATGAAAACAATTACGAAAGTTGAGACAAATGTTCATAGAGATGTTAACAACCTTCCAAGAGAAGTATTAATTAATTCCAGATTCGATTTCGACACATATGGTGCACTCGGAGTGCATACAGCAATTTTCGTCGAAGGTGTATGCATTGAAGAATAATCTGGCATTTGAATGTTCATACCAAGCATCACTTTTAACACGTCTTGCGTAGTGTTGTATAATTGTTGGTTTGTTAAAGGAGGAGTTGAACTGCCATCCGCCTAAAGTGTTTGAAAATTTCATTATTTATTTTATTAATAGTAAAAAATAATTATGGAATAATTAGATACGAAATACGAATACGAAAATTTCAATAATTTTGTTTAGCAATTCTTAATTAAAAGGTACTATTTACAGCATAGTTCTTTTCAGATTGTTATCGACGAAATCACGCAACATAAAAATGCTTTCGTTCAATATATTTCTGTTTACAATATCATATTCAATATATACATTACGTTTAAAACAGGCCTGGTCCATCGGCTGAGAAACGTTGTGAATTCTTGTGCATATTTCAATGCGTCCATTTTGATTTTCTCACGAAACCATTCTCTTTACACAAAATTATTCGAATGAAGCCATTTGGAAGGTGTCCGATCGACTAGCAACACCGGAGAGTCCTTGTGTTACTTATAATGTTTACATCAGTAACGTATAATACGTAATTAGGGCCCTCTGTCAATGCCTTTACTTCCAAATTTTGTGAAAACTTAACCAGGGAATGCTACTGAGAAGTTTTCAGCTAATTCAGTAGGCTTAATTTATTAATAGAAGTTTGCAACATTTATTTCTCGTGAAAATGAAAAATCAATCATTTCTGATTACCACTGCAAAAATATTGATAAGAGTTTAAGAACTATTAATCACATTATTAATATTAAAACTGTTTCATATTTCTAAATTATAATGTCTGAAATTTAGAAACAATCGGCTGCAATTTCAAGCTGTTTCATCCCATACAATAAAAAGATATACAACATCTTCCTATCTTTTGACACGGTGTTCAATAAGAAATAGTGGCGAAAATCATTCGGAGAACCACTGTTGTAACAAAAAACGATGTCGCCAGTTTGCCTATTTTCGGAACATAAGGGGTACAATACATAACGAACTGTTTCTGTTGTTATTATTGTCGTATTACAGATTAAATATTACTGTGGTAGTCGATACGTGGCAGAACGTTGACATTTCAACCGTCGACTTACCTTCCAACGGCTATTAAATTCATGTCAAAGCCTTCAATTCGGTTGGCCATACCATATTATTTGTTAAACATCGCAACCTTGGGTTTCCTTTGGCAATCTTATATCTTTGTTATCCGACTACCTCACAAATAGACATTAGTATATCAAAATATTTAACACTTTATCACATTAAATACTGGCCGAATTCTGTTTGGGCCATTTACTTCTTGTATTACTTATTAATTATCTATCTAATATCTTCACGCTGACTATTCCTTCGTTCTTTTCTAATGATCCCAACCGATTACTCTCATGCTCGGTTATCACAAAATGACTTGATAAATCTAACCGACTGGAGTACGATCAATCAACCACGCGACAAATAAATATTAACAGTTACCCTTCGCAAAAATATCTGACCATATGAAGACGACTCCCGACCTTTGCCACTGGCCACCAAACTCAGGTATTTCTCGCCGAGCTGATAAGACCACCTGCGCGTCAAGGTTCCTACCAGATAAAAATCTTGCGCTTCGCGTAGTCGGCTCGGTTGGTGAGCCTATAGGTAGTGGCCACCATCCACCACAATGGTTATTGTTTCAACACGGTATGCGAGCGGCGTTCCGTGCCGCCTATTTATGACACATTATGCGAAAGCGCACCCGATAGAGTACGAGTATTGCATTTCGTGTCATTGTGATGGCAACAATGATACACCCTGGGCCATATAGCCTGGTACCACTACATAAATCAAGATTCGTGCCAAGGTATCGATACCCCCGCTCGCATTGGCCAGGTAGGTGTCGCGCTGAAATACTTCGCGCCCTCTTTTTTCTCTCCACAGGCGAGCGTCGCCGATAAAAATGCTTCGATTCGAAGTGCAACGATCGAAGTGCACCCTTTCTTTTATTGTATGATGATCAGGCCGGCGGACACGCTCATGCAAATTCATATTTTCGCGGACTACAGCGTTGGAACAGTTTCATGAATATTTGGTTTCATCTGGGGTGAGTTTTCAGTTAGTTGAACGTGGAGATGGGGAGGCGAAGATGCTCTTCTTAACGTTTAATTAATATTTGGTAAGTTCTGAAAATAGTACGGTATATTTAGAAGTGTTGAGAACTCCTGTCCGACCCCTTGTATAATATGATCAAAGAAAGGTGATGCGGAATTTCAAATTGAATTGAATATATTTGAATATTATTAATTTCTTTCACGTTGAACTCAATCTTTAGTGTTCACATTGATTTATTAATACTTCCCTTTTTCTGTTAGCAAGTTTCTTCTTTCACTAAAGCTAAATTCGAATTTAAAAGGTGACAAAATTATTTGGTGTGCCTAATCGTGTGATTACAGTCTTCACAATCGTGGAATCTCCACGGGGATTTCAATTCCATGTACAAGTCGATATCGAATAAACGAAACCCTGTCGGTTAGTCTGTGAATAAAGATAACCGAGTCGATTGAATAAAGATAATCACTCGTTTCCATTCGAGAAACGACAATATCGTGGGTGAAGCATCTAATTAGCGAAATACTGACACTCTTGCCACCTACTACAACCCGCGCAAAGGGATCGTTAAACTCGAATAGGAGAATCGAGCTAAATCTCGAGATCCAGTCGTTAATTCCGGATCCAACAACCCTGGGACTTCTTATTAAAAATTCGGCGACATTCTACGCTCGATTACTCCCGACATTCATAATTATTCTCTCCTTATTCGAGGACGTTCCTAATTGCTCCCTGTTATTCCTGCGCCTCTTCTTCGGCTACATGATTCCAAGGACTCGCCGCTGTCGTGCAGGAACGGGAGCAAGAACAGTTACGAAAAATGGAAGATGGAGCGACAGACACTGGGAAGAGATTGCGAGAGAATAACTGCAGTGTGACTTTAGCGAGCCGACTCCATCAAATCAATCATGCCATGGTTTTTGAGATGCCGTGTCTAATGAAACTTAATTTGTAATATAATATACCTACTACGGCTACTTGTAACGTCCAGTTATTTTTTCGAAGAAATAATTGTAAAGTTAATAACGTACTTTGTGCGAAACTTCTCAACCAATTCGAAATTTTGAAGTACAAGTTTCACAGAATGCTCTTGAACAGTGTTTACATTTTATGACTAAACGTCTAATATAAAAGAAGCAAATGCTTACTATCTAAGTTCATAATTTCGTATAAAAATTGATACCACCAAAAAGAATTGCAGAAGATTTTTAAACCCTACAAAAATACATTTTACATTATAAATATTCAAGAATCCTCACGTTCTAGATTCACCTCAACATTTTCCTCAAATCATTAAAGACACCGAAGACCGGAGCCTACACAATTAAAATCATAATACAGACGGACACGAAACGTGTCGCTCTCGCCAAAACCATTACTACCACCATATGTCCCCGTAATCCAATCGAAACAGTGGATTAATCGCAAATTCCCTCACTTCTCTAAACCATTACAGATACATGAAAACAAAGATACCGAAAATTCAAGCACACGTTCCTTCAATCCCCAAAAAAAGAAAGTCGAATCGAAGAATCGCCATAAAAAGGTGTATCTAAATTAGAGAGTCCCTAACCAACATTAACACGGACTATCTTTGAGGGACCTTCCAACAACCGGGTCACCAATTATACTCTTTCTTCATCTCCCAAACCTGTTAACCGACGTTTAGGAAATAAACCGGGCCGGATGTAGCCGGAGAAAGGAGCGTGGCCGTTACAAGCTGTGTCCTTTAATCAGCGATGCTATACACCAGGCCGAGGGCAGGGTGCTTAATAAGAGGGACCGACTTAATTACGAGGATATATGGCGAATAACGGAGGCGAGTCCCTTCGAATCGCGCGCACGTCGCCTCTATATCGAACCGAAAGCCTCGATTTGCATACCGTGCCGCTCACCTTCCCTCTCACTCCTTCTCCGTCCCTCTTTCTGCGTCCCTCCTCTCGTTTCCTTCCACCGTTCTCGCGAATAAACCACGAGGCGGCCTACCGTTCCCCTCCCTCGCTTTTTCCCTCGCCGGTTACCCTCGGGGCGACACGACGACACACGCACGCCTCCGCGGCAGAAATATTATTCCGAGTCGCAGAAATTCCGGTACGCGCCGTTCCTTTTCGGCTTAACGATCCGCCTAATGAACGTTAATGTCTAAGGGCACGGATCCTGCGATTCCGGCGCCACCGCGATATACGACCGCTGCCGTTTGCGCCATCGCGCCGCTTCGACGCGCGATCCTGCGCTCTAACCTTCGCTTCATTCGGATTCCCTAAGTTTCTTTATCTGGAGGAGCTGACGAGTTGTTAGCCGACCGGGCAGTTTCTTTAGTTGCGTGTCTCTTATGGAAATTGGCTGAAGATATAGGATTCAGATAAAGGTGTCGCTTATTTTGTGTGTTTTTGCAGAAGCGTGCCTTAGAGGTGTTGTAGCGTCAAGTGGAAGAAGATTGTGGGAACAGGATAAAAATACTGAGAGTACCGATGTCAATCGTCATAAATAGTTGGTAAATTGGCAGCGAACTAAATTGAATAAATTCTAATAAATCGTGAGGAGAATGTACCAGATGGTCCTGCAACGATTAGAACCGTAGCTTTGGTCTAAGGTAATCATTGACTTACAGTTAGGAGATCACTCGACGTCTAGCGGAATCGGAGGCAAGAACTGTCTTTTTAGTCTACAGTTTTATAGAGCCGATGGTCACGAGTAATCGTATCGACTAACAGTAAACTAATAATCGATGATACGAAAAATTCAGAAATAAAACCAAGAGAAGATCGAGCGGGCAACAATAAAAACTGGTCAATCAGCCGAATTCTTCGGTCTAACCGTCGAGTGATCTCTTAGCAGCGGTTATGGTCATCGGCAGGATTAGAATGAAAAGCGACGCGCAAAAACTGCGTGAAACTTCGCGACAGTCGAAAGAGAAAGAAAAAAAAGGGGCTCTCCGAGTTAAAGAGCGTCGTTCAATTCAACGGCAGCGAGTCGTCATCCGGCGGAACCTTGGTTCCCATTCCCCCTTTCCTATTGGCCACGCCGCGTTTCAGTCGCTCGCGACAGCACGGCCGCGCCGCATTCCAGCCACGCGCCTTGCCTAGGAACACTGGCGTAACTATCGACCTTAACGAGGCGATTTGTCAAGACCCTTTCATGTTCCACGATAAGAAGACGCGTTGACCACGATGACGATTACGGGGCAATCGGACGTGAAATGCCACCGGCATTTGGGTCGGAATTGTCCCAGGACACTTCTCCTGTGGATTGCCCTCGCGGCTTCGAATCGAAAACGGTACTTGCGGGATTTTCTGCGTGCCTCGCGACTTCTTTCCGACCGAGTGTCCGCTTCTTCTTGAACGGCTCTCGTCGGGAGAAAAAGAAACTGGGGCACTGATTTAAGAACAGAGATCTAGTACCTATCACGAGGGAGATGTTCT